CTTTTAAGTGTACTGGTATAGAGATTCAAGCCTGCCTAAATATACTTTCTTGGACCAGTTTTAAAACTTCTAATTAGCTAGAAAGTTCTCCTAAATTGTATGCAAATTTATATTGAAATTAACCAAATATGGCAAATGTTTAAAAGATAATAGTAAAAGTCGGCAAATTCAGACCCAGTTATTTGTAATCTTTAACTTTAACCTTTAACTTCTATAGTACCTGTTCTTTTTAATTGATTAATTGACAGTAACTTAGAATAAACATTAAAAAATGCTACAGTTTTCACCGCAACTGTGCGAATGCCTACTTTGTTATGGTGATGATTATTGGGGTGCATGACGTGTTTGAAGATGGCTACATTTCATTCATTCAATTTACACTGGGGCCACCGCCTGGCATTGTATTAATGGTGTTTCTCCCATTTTCTGTAGGTGGACGCGGACGCATATATTGGATTAAGCGAGCACTTTCCCCTTTTGGCGACGGAACTTCCGAAATAAACAGAGGCCCGCTGCTACCGAGTGCATGTGTTGGATGCAATGAACTAGATTATCTGTTAGCATGTGTAGGTACATATATACTATGGTATATAGACATCAAGAGTATACACATAAGTGGGTTTGTAGGTACATAATGCAATTAATGCAGCCGCATTAATGTAGGGGAAAATGTGCAAAGCTCATTCTCTCTGTTGTGTCTGAATTTTGTGGGTCGCTGGTGTGCTCTCTTTGGGCATACAAGTTTTTGTCCGTTCCACTCTTTGTTAGGCATTTGTCGGCTGCTTTTTTAAATATTTGTGTATTTTTGCATCAGTTACTCACACCGACTGGACCAATTAAGCACTTGACATGACTCCTAGGCCAGGCCTATGGCCAGTAATGGCTGCACATATTTCACTTTATGCGAGATAAGCGATTAATTTTGACAGTATAAAAAATGTGGGTTAGTTTGTGAGTTGTCAGTGTAATTAATCAATTTAAGTGGAGTCCTAGGCCAACAAGTTATCTATTTTACATTGCATGCCTTGCATAGTTTAATATTTTATAGACTAATTTAACTAATGTTATTGGTAATGTAGTCATTTCAGATACTATTTAAGGTATCGCTTTTTTATTATCTGATTTCTTATCAGCGAGCGAAAATGTAAAAACAATATTTTTATCAGACTGATAATGATAGTGTTTATAATTAATGATAGAAAGTAACCCTTGCTAAAAATATTTATATATATCGATGTTATGTTTACGAAATTAAAAAAAAAAAGTCTAAAGATGTTAAACTCTTCTCAACTAATTTAATAAATTTTTTTCCTTAAAAATATTCCTCATACCTTTATCAGCCCAAAAATAATCTGTTTAAAAAATTGTCCCTCCTTGACAGCAGATTTTATTAGTTTAGGAGCACCAACCAGGCTGTATAATCTCGACCTATCTTATCTGCCGTGGGACTGGCTCATCCTGCAAGCAGATGGTCGAGCTGGGTGGCATGTGCGTGGCTTGTGGACCACTTGGGGCCGGTGCCACTATTGACTAACTTGTCGCACTTATCGCGAGTCAGTTTGATGAACTTTAAAACAAATCCTGACCCCGAACGCTAACACCCAAGAGCAATGTATAAGATTGTACATAGGCACGGACAAGTACGTCAATAATAAAATCAATTCCCCCGAAGGGGAACATCATCTCCCCAGACGTCGCAGCTATGCGGTGCCGGTTTCCCAGAGTACAACGACTCCCCGGCTCCACCTTGAAACCCCCACTCTCCCACTCCCCGCTCCGTTTGTTATTAAATCGATAAAAAGGCTGCGAGCCTGAAAAGGCAGCAAAAAGAAAAGCCTCCGCCCGGCGGCCGTACCTGTACCGGTCCACGTACACGTACCCACCCATCGGCAGTCGGAGATGAGATGTGTTCATTGCACCTGATTAGCGGATTGATAGATGCAGTTGTGCCGATGTGTGCACACACTCGGACACTCGTCTGTACATATTGGGCCGGGCGGGGGTAATGGGAATGCATTCAGTTGGAACTCTCGCAATGTTGTCTTAACGCGGCGCTGGAGAAATTTCAATTTAACGGCCGAAACATAATGGCATTATGTATACTAATGTGTGGGACCAATAAAATTTGAAAATAGAACGAGAAACTGTAGAAAATACCCACGCATTGCGCACAAGTATACAGGCACACACACAGAGGCACATACACAGAGGGCTAGAAAACACAATTGCAATACAGAAAATAGAGGAAAATCCACTCGCTTTTCCCATGCACATTGGGCACAACACATTCACAAATTAATTTTGCTCTCCATCAACAATTACCGTTAAGGTGGCTGTTGAACAAAATCTCACGCGATTTGGCAGATGAACGAATTCAATTTACACGCACCGTACAAGTTCACTGTTTGAAAATCGAAAAACTTTTAACGCGTAGACTCCAATTGGAATCCGCCTTGTGGTGAAAGTCCGCTTTTCATGGTGGGATTCGACAGCTGATCCGACCGAGGTGGCAACACCGTAAGTAAAAAAGCAGTTCTCCCAAAAACTCTGTTTTAACAAACAGTTTTAGAGCCGTTTCTGCCGGCAAGTTGGCAGCCTCGCCGAGCGGCGGTTTTTTCAGCGCGCATTTTTGAAAAATCAGCTATCTATGGCTGACCGCGAATTATACCGATATGGGTCGAAATCGCGAATTTCCGGGGAATCATCGGTTACCATCCTAGATTTTTTAGTGAAATTTGCCGAATTTGCCCTTCACAACACTGCCTTGATCGTGTCAGAAGAGTGAAGACGTGAAGTTTTGCCAATCTGCAGAAATCGGGCTATATATATGGAGCACCTAACGGAAGAAGAGCTCTTCAACGCCGTGATCCAAGGCGCAGGCGTGCTCGCCCTGGCAGATTTTATCATGGTTGCTCCTAAAGCATATCTGGCATTGATGTGGAGCAAGCAGGTGGCTTCTCCGCTTCTCTCTCCGCCAACCACTGGTCATTGGCCGGACGATCGTCAATGTGCGGCTCAACCGCTGCTCTATGGTAATATTGCATAGCTGCAAATTATTACAATTCAAGAAAGCTTAAAAAAATGTAGGGTTTTTTTTACTTCATTCGACATTATAGAAATCCATGATTCAGCCGTTCCCATTTGTATTAACAGTCGAAAATTGATTGATTAATCCTCAAACTCCCCGAAAATATAACCTTATCGATTATTCGAATACCCCCTCTTGCTCCTGCTTTCAAGAACAACAAGCCAGATATAAATTACTTGGAAAAATTATATTTAAATTGAAACTATAAACAAAATATTAGAATCTGTATGAACTTTGTAACTGAAATGTTATTGTGAAAAAGTGTACTAACTTAAACCTGTTGTGTAGCGCTAAGAGCGAACCACAAAACCTGCTGGGCAGCCATTGCGGGCGCATCTAAATCAGTTGATGTTGGTTATTTTCTGTATGTGGACTTAAAGCTATTAGGTTTTGTAGATTTTCCTGCTGCGCACATGGGGCATGGCCTGCCCCGTCGACGAACGCTGGGCCCAACTGTGTAGATAAGAGATAATCGATTTTCGTATTGCCATCGCGATCCGCCACAATCCCAACTGTTCCTAGTGCCGAAGTTTCCACTACTACCAGCCTTACGATATAACGCAGCTGCTCTTCTCCTGGGGGCTCCCGTTCTCGTTCTCGATCAGAATCAGTAGCTGCTGGAAAATATCACCCACAGACTGCGAGCGTTAGGAAACACGGGGTATTAAATGACTCATATTTGTAATTGAGCAGCAAGGACTTGCCTCGTTTTGTTTGGCGGAAGTTTCGAGAAACGCTGCTCGCCACGACTCGGCCAACTTCTTGCCCTCGTCTGTCGAAACGGTGCGCTCCTGGTGCAAGTCGGTTTTGTTGCCCACCAGCACCACAGGTACACTGCAGGGGAAGAGGATCAAAGTGAGCAAAACCTTCAATTAAGACGTCTTGTGAGACGCACTATTTCTTGCCCATCACATCCAGTAGCTTCTCGTATATAATCTTGACCACTTCAAAGGATTTTTGGCTGGTTATCGAGTAGACCAGCACGTAGCCGTGGAAATCCATGCTGTATTGCACCGGGAATATGCTGTACTCGTCCTGGCCGGCCGTGTCGATGAGCTTCACCGTGTACTCCTGCGAGTTGACCTTTGTGTGTGTGCTAAATGCTGTGAACGAAAAATGCAGGAAGCTTACAATCGAATCTGCCAGTAATTGGGTCGCAGTTTGTTTCTGGGAAATCCCGGCCAGAGCAGCACTTGCTCAGAGGCTGTACTCACTGTTCTCGATGGTGGGGTCATAGGAGTCGACAAACTGCCCTTCCACGAACTGTATGCTGAGCGACGATTTGCCTGCAGGTGAAGATGAAGGCGCAGTTGTTATTATTACACGAGATTGTTCGCAGTTCGCAGAATTCGTTGTTGTTGCTGTTGTCAAAATACTACGCAATTATAAGCGCCAGCAGCAACAACAACGCAAGCTGCTGACTGACCGACGGAGTGGGTGAGGTATGGTACGTACTGTATGTGTGTATTGGCTTTGATTTTGTCGCAAAACTCACCCACAGATCGGTAGCCCATGACGGCTATGTTGCGCTCCTTTGGTGGCATCTTCGGGGTTTGTAGGGCTTTCAATTAGGCAGAGGAATAACTCTGGTTTTCGGGGCTTTTTGGAATTGTTGTCTCTGCAACTTTCGTTTGTGTGCCTGTGTGGGTGTGGGTGCCTTGCCTGTGCGCCGTGACCGTGGGTGTACACAAGGAGATTATTGCTTTTTGCTGCACTACACTTGCTCGGGATACTTGTTGCTATCACAGCTAGGGGGTTTTCCAATGACTTTTAATTTAAATATTATGTATTAAATCGTTGAAAACAGCGACTTGCTAGAGCTGGAAAAACGTCAATAACACAACACCGATATTATATCGAAGTTTCAAGTTCCCAAATATCGATGTGTCGCAACTATCGCAGCTGTCCGCCGGCACGCGCACACCTCTATCAAAGCAGCTGTTATCAACAGCGTTTTTCGTGAAAATTTGTTTAATTTGTGAATTTGTGAAGCGAAAAACTCGGTTTTACCCTTGAAATGGGCTCGAAGCGCCGCAACATCGAGGACGAGTTGTCCCGTTTCGAGGCAGAAATCTCAAAGCCTCCCGCCCGCAACCTGTTCGTGCCCAATCAAGTGCGGCCCATCATCGCCGCCAACACCTACAACAATGTCCAGCAAAAGCTGCAGCAACACCAGCCCACTGGAAGTGGGGGATCACGGTTAACTGTGCCACCGCCTCCGATCCCGCCGCCGCCCACTTTCATGTCCACCTTCGTGCCCACGAGCAACGGGAGTAGTTCATCCTCGTCTAATCATAGCAAGCCGATGTCCGCCACGCCCGTGGTCCTGAGCAGCGCCCCCAAGCTGTACCAGTGCCGGCAGTCCGTTCATGTGCCCACAGTTGCCGCTGCACCCTCCATCGACATCAACGCCGTGTCGTTCGACGTGACACAAAAGCTGAAGAAGCTGAAGGCAGAGAAGTCCGGCCCGAATCCCATTGCCGAGGAGGCCATCAAGGCGGCGCGCGCCTCTTCGGCGCTGCAGTCTTTCCAGACAACGGAGCGCAAGAAGAAGGACCGGAAGACGGTTCGGATTGCTGGCGGAAGCGTGTGGGAGGACTCCTCGCTGGCCGACTGGCCCGACGATGATTTCCGAATTTTCTGCGGCGATCTGGGAAACGATGTCAACGATGAGGTGCTCACCCGCACCTTTAACAAGTTCCCCTCGTTTCAGCGGGCGCGCGTGGTGCGCGACAAGCGTACCGGCAAGAGTAAAGGATTCGGATTTGTCAGCTTTCGGGAGCCGGCGGACTTTATTCGTGCCATGAAGGAGATGGACGGCCGCTATGTAGGCAGCCGACCGATTAAGCTGCGCAAGAGCACTTGGAGGCAACGCAGCCTGGACGTGGTCAAGAAGAAGGAGCGCGAGAAGCAGGTTCTCCTGCAGGCGTTCAACTCCATGAACTGAATCAGCCAGCGTCCGCGTCCTCTTTAATTTTTAGGCTAGTTTCGGTCACTTTGAAGTAGCAAATTTGTTTTCGACGTTGCTGCCAAAGATGAGCAATAAATTTACATTTAGCAATCGATGTGCTGACAGCTTTTTATTGAAGAGACGTAACAACTAACCCTACCCTTTACGAGGTAACCCAACAGCACAACAAATAGGATGCACATACATGTAAAATGGAAGCTACGCCAGCGATGGCTTTGATAAGTTAATAAGAGCTAGAGCCTAGAGGGGAAAGCGGTAATTGACTATGTAATACGTAAAGCTTTTAGTACCATTTGGATGAGTCCTTGCCCCCGAGGAGAGGCCGTCGCACCGTGTCGCCTACTTGGTCCTTATCCTCCTCCTTCCCTGCCAGCCTTTGGTACTGGACTCCCTCTCTCCTGGGCCACCGGGTCAGGGGGGTGCCGGCTTCAAGCCCAAAGATGGAGGGATAGTACTGCCTGTAGCTGGCGTAGCCTGCAAACAGGCCAAGCAGACCTCCGAAGGTAACATCCTGCCAGTGGTGATGGTAGTCGCACGTCCGACTAACTGCCACTAGCAGGGCGATCAGCAGGGGAATCACAGCAATGCACAGCCGCCAAGTGTGCCCGCGTCCTCGGGCATCAAAGGCGTGCAGCTTGGCGCCAATATAATAGGCGATGAAACCGAAACTGGCAAAGGCGACTGAAAGCGGTGATTAAATCAATTAGCTGGAAACTCCAACAGCATCAATAATCAACTTACACGAGGAGTGGCCGCTGGGGAAACTCTTGCGCCCTTCGTTTATGTCTCCCGCAAGGCCAGTGCAATTAAAGTCCAGGATGGATGTGTCCAACCCGGTCGACGTAGTGTTTAGAACCATAACACCGTCGGGAAAGCAGCGGTAGAAGTAGTCTGGTCTGGGCCGACCCACAGTTATCTTCAGGATGCTCGTCGGTATGCCGTTCATGCACAGTGCCAGAGTCCAGGCCCAGCTGGCGGCTCGAAAGTCCCGCCTGTCCTTGGTAAACCAGTAGAAGGCGAGGGTGACCAAAAACGGGGCCACTATCACCCAGAAGAGCAGCTCCCCGCCCTTGACAATGTCCGGTCTTCTGGGATTCTTGTACAGCCAGAGTTCCTCTTCATGGATTTCCCGCTTGAATGCCGTCATCGTCTCCAGCTTACTGCAGATGGTAGAGATGAGTCATGAATAAGAGTGATGAATGTATTTGTCTCAACAAATAAACTTACAAAAAGATCAAGACGAGGACTATGCGGAGAACCACATCAACTGCATCACTGAGCTTTCGGTTGGCGTGACCAGGACTAGGACTCCGCTTCTCCGGCTGTGCGGAGCTACTGTCTGCATTCATGGAGAGCTCGTTGCGCCACATTCCGTCACCGTTGCTCTGAGTCGCTGTGTGTCCAACGTCCTCAGCGGAACTCTCGCTGAGGGTGCGCTTGTTGGCCGTGGATTCTTGACCTTCCTTGGCTGCTGACATTTTGATGGTCCGCTGGGTATTGTCGCCGGTTGTCTGACTACGTCTGCTGGGAGTCTGAATTATTTAAAAGATAGGCAAGTAGCTGCGTCATTATTCGTTGCACAGATAAAAGCTCGTTAACTATGCTAACTGATAGTAAGGATCGAAATGATAACGCATGTCTTGTGTTCTTCCGGGAATAAAATACTCTTACTCTGACTTTAGTCACCGCACGCTGTTCAAATTATAATCAATCAGCGACAAGGAGATAAGTTTCTTATATCTGGGCTAAGTGCAAATCCTTGTATGGATTATTTCAAAAGACAAAACACATCAGACGGCTTTCCAGTCTGGTTATTAAAAGAGGATACGTTTTGTTATTTGGCTAAAAGCTTTATATTCCTGGTCGACCCCGCTGAAGTGTATTTAACAAACGGCCTTAAATCCTAGGGTAAGCCGATAGAGTGGGTATTGTGTGAGTACCGTCCGATTTCCGCGATTAGATACACACTTCAAAACACGCTCCGCGTCAATGTTTGTCATCAAAACGTGGTTACGTATATCAGGTATTTATGTTATATGGCCGTAGTGTCTGGGAGTGAGCCTTAGCCACACACATTGGGCCTTAATATGTTGGCGTCAGAAACAATATTGGCTAGCTGGCGCACCTGTTCCTCGGCAATAAGTGCGATATTGCCGTTCCGGCGGCTACGTAAGTCCCCCGTATGGCTATCGGGCATTATCGTCAGATCGCCTGGGATGTTGTGGCTTGACTTTGGAACTGTTTACACTGGCCCGGGACCGACTGGGGCTTGGGGCATCCACTTGTTGCTCTCGACGGCGCGCTGCTTTGCACTTAACTGCTTCTCCGACTGCTGCTAAATGCTAATTGCTGAGGGCTTTTTATAAACTTTCTCTAATCTCGCGGCAGCATCGTAAAATAAACAGCTAACCCCCTCTCAGCCCGCCTATGTCTCTCCCGCTCGCTCAATAGGAAACATTAACAGCTGTTTGCCCTTTTAGTTAGGCAAATTGCACGACAGTTTTCAGCTTGTGACGGTGTAACAGGTTTACCTGTTAATTAAACATGCTTGTGACGGTAATAACTACAGCTCATTGCATTATAAGATTTGTTCGCGCGACAAAATTACACATCTTTCGGAAAGTTGGAGCGGGTTGATTGGTGTGACCAAAGGAGCGGAACGACATACATACCGTGAATCACACGCTCACAGCTGATTCAGGTTCAAGCGATTTTCAGCGAAAACTTTAAAAGAAAGAGCAAGAAACACTTATGTTTAATTTCGTGAGAGTTGTTCACATTTTAATTTTCTGATCTCATCAAATTGGAAAGCAAATTTGAACATTTAACGGTTTTTTTTATAGAAAGTCCGATAGTTTATTGTATCGCTATCGTTGGGGCTGCCAACTTGGCTCTGTGCTCTGACTCAAGAACAGGGTTGTTAGGGAATCATATGATTGAAAATTCTGGGTCGGTGCAATAGGTAAATAAGCAATTAAAAGCAGTTTGATAACAAAGAATGGCGTTGAATAAGAGCGAAAAAGAGGCAGCCGGGCAGCTAATGGATGCTTTGTACCTGGACATGTTCCACCTGATCGAGGAGCACACCCAGAGCCGGGTTAATCTGGAAAGAGCGAACGCCAGCGGGGCCATTCTATTGGCCCGTACGCGATTCCAGCACGGAGGCAGTAACTCCGTGTCCACGGCGCAGATTCCCACGGAGAACAGTGCCGAGTTCAACGCCCTGTGTCGCGTTGTCGACTCTGGAGACGGTCGGGGGATCAGCATTGAGCGTCAGCCGGTTGACAAGTCCAATGGCTACGTGGAGCCCCTGCACTGGTTCTCGTAAGTTGTTTAAGTGGTTAAATGGGTCAATGTGATAACTCGAATTATCTCTTTTGCAGGGTTCTTCCTCCCATGAGTTTACGAAATGCGGTGTCCAAGTTCAAGGATTGTGTCGAGCTGGTGGCAGAGAGCACAAACCTGCAGCGGCAACTGTGTGATGTCCTGGACTGGATCACCAAGTTGCGTCAGACTCCGCTGATAAAGTAGATAATAATAAAAATAAAGTAGAATTTCGGACCCGTCAAGTATTTCCATTGAAGAATAATGTTAACCAATGCCATTAATGTTTTACTTAATATTCTTAATTATATTCGAGTAAGAGCATTTTCTGACTTATCGTTTTCAATGGATACCACCACCTAACAAATTTGTAATATAATAAATTAGTTTAAAAATTAATACATATTTTAGATTTCCCGTCATTGTGGGCTAGTGGCGCTACCACTTGTTAGGCAAGAAAAGAACAACGAGTGGGTAGCGCCGCAGATTCTACTCGTCAGCTGTTATGCCCTGCCAACCATTTTTCGCTTCGTGTTCTTGGCAAAAATTAAAATCGAACGCGTAATTCGCTTGCTATTCTCGCGGAGTGCATGGTGAGACCTTTTTTTATTACTTTTGTAAACTCCCCAGAGCTCTCCGTTATAATCGATTTACCGAAAATATTTAACTCTGGCAGGAGAGCAAAGGCATCGACCAAAAATCGATAATTGAAACGAAAACGAAAAAGCAAAAGTGAGACAATTAACAAGTAATGTAATCAAATTTCAGCTTGAATAATAGAGGCGCATTGTTCGGGAACATGCGACCAATGAAGGAGGAGCGGAACAGTAGATAACAGATAACAAGCGACGCCCGAAAAGTGACATATAGAAGCGAGGAAGAAGCAGCAGCCGCCACAACAGCGCAGCGCGGGTCTTTGTTGTTGTGTCTGCGACGAGAACGACCCATCATCACCACTCCCCACTCTCACACACCCCCTCACACCACACACGTGCCTGCCCTCCGACTCGGCAATGAGTGGCGCTCGGGATCATGCCGATCCCCCGCTGCTGCAGCTTGAGGATGAGGTGGACCTGATAGGTGACTTTGTCAAGGACCAGCCGCTGCCGTCCAGCCAGCTGGCTCCGCTCCTCAACGGCTTCGAGCCGACTGTAAACCAGTTGACCACCAAAGTCGAGGTAAGTGAGCTCTCTACACTTTTAAAAACCCCAATGGATAAATATGATGGGTTCATTCCCAGATTAACACCATTGGGATTGGAAAACGGAGGCCTAGAAAGAGAGGAAAAAAGGAGAGGGAGCCCATGCTCTTGTCGGTGGATGACGACGACGACGACGAGGATGAGCAGCCGGCAGAAGGGGCGAAAAACCACACTAACGGCCTTTTGGCCAGTGACAAGAGCGCCGGAGGCGATGCCGTGCAGCAGAAACCGCAGATGGATCAGTTTGCAAGCTGGCACGAAGACCACAGCACCGAAGATGGCGACGATGAGGACGGTGAAGAAGAAGTGCTGTTGAAGAGAGGCTCAAACCTGCGCAATGGCAAATCTAAAGGTCGCGTCGAAGAGATTAGCGACGACAGCGCACAGCATCAGCAGCAGCAGCTGACGCCGCAGGTGATTAGTCACATCGCACCCGCGAAAGCGTCAACATCTGTATCGACAGCGTCATCATCCCCGCTAAAATCCTCAACGCACATTGCCCTCGCCCGTCACCCGCACGACGAGGCCGACGATATTTGCCTGGTGCCAGAAATCGACTTCGAGGGCATGTCCACGGACGCCGGCAGCGACAACCGGGAGTCGCAGCCGCTCCTCGGAGGCGGCAGTGCCAGCCACGGAAGTCGCTTTAGCGAGCTGCTCGGCGGCCTGGGACGCGGTCACGATCATGTGGGCCTCGTATCGAACACATTTGGCGGTGAGTGTAAATAAGTTGGGGAAATACCCGAAGTCCTACAAGTGGCCAACTCTAGGGCTTCAATCTCTGGGCTCCCCCTCCATTCCAATCATTGCAATGGGTACAGAAAAGCATGATAGGATGATTCCACTGTTTGCCTTAGGTTAAGCTGCGGCTTTGCTCATGCTGCTCGCTTATCTTTTTTTTATTACCGCCCACATACATTGAGTGCTCGTTGCGCTAGTTTGGACTGCGTGATTCTGTTTGTAAAAGGCGTTACTTGTTCAGTATAATTACTAGAAGCTAGGGCACTCTTAAATCGGTAAAAGAACCCAGCAGAATAATCATAATTCCCCATTTCTGGGTTTGTAAGCTAAAACTCGTTGAAAGTCACGTTTTAGAGATAGTGAAGTCTTTGAAAGAGAAAATTCAATGCCTTGGGAACAGAACAACTGGATCGAACAAATAGTTGTGGTTCAACATAATTTGTTGACAAAATTCAATGACTTAAAACCGGGAACGTTTGGGTAAGATCCCTAAAAACCTTAAAAACTTACAATAGTAGGCAAAGTCAAGCATTAACAGGTGTGTTATCTTTTCATTAAAAATAGCAGGCAGTATTTCTTCTCGGCGATATGTAGATTTTTTTTTTTTATAAAATAGTATCAAGAGAAAATTAAAAAAAAAAAAGAATAATAAAATAGTATCAATAAGAATTGTTCTAAGGTTTTTAAAGTGATGTATTAAAAATTTAAGCAACAACTTGATCAACACATATCTTTCTTAGGCTTGTATATTTAGTTAAAATTACAAGAAAAAGAAAAAGAATGTATTCTTTAAATCGTGCCACATGGGGAACACTTTATTTATTTTTATTATTATTATTTAAAATTTATTTAATTTAATATTATTTAAAAATTGGTGGTATATGTATATGTATACCATCCTATTGAAAGCCAAGTAAAGAATAACGTAACCCTGATTTAGCGCATTGTAGCACAATTCGTGGCTGAACAGTACTCTGTTATTCTTTATTGTTTAAATTTAGTGCAGGCGTCGACTAAACCTATTTGCTGTTCGTTTTGTATGACAGATTCGAATATTCCTTTTAAAGAAAAGTTGATTTTTTTACCCATGTGAGACAGAGTGCCGTAATACCTTTCAGAATTAGGATTACCAATACTACTCTGAATAATAAAATTAGTGCAACACAATTTGTGTACATTGAACTCTTAACGTTCTCTGTTACATCTTAATGATCTGTGTGACTAAGTCACTATTTCATCAGGTGATGAGTAAGACTGTAAGCACTCCCTTTGAATTGCTATTTAATTTCGAATGTATAGTCAGTCATTATAAGTTAAGGTTCGTGTGCTTTTGTAGATTATTTATTTATGATTAATTATTATATTTAATACTGCAAAATGTGCATCTATTAGCCTCCGCCATTTCCAATTAGCTAATGGGTGTATTAAAAACAAAATACAAGTGAAACAATATCAATCGACATCGGCGCATATGTCAAATTTATTCATAATTATAGTATCATACAAAATTCACCAAACTCAGCTCGGTCATAGGCAAAGACAAATTCGTTGTAAATGTTGGTCCGTTTGGTTAGTGCACTAAATTGAACACCGATTGCAATTGCAAAGCCAAAGCGCTCGAAAATGGAAGTTGTTCTGCTGGCAACTTTTGCCGACTGGACATAGCGACATGGCCACGGGCGCTAACGCTGAGAACTCTCCACCCAAGGAGCCTGTTCCAGCTCCTACAGATGTGAATTCAGATGACCATGAGAAGCCCACGACAAGCAATAATGCTGTGAAGAGCAGCCTTCTGTCGGTGACCTCTGACTACGCGCCCTATGTCTGCTGCTGCTGCGAGGAACTGTGTCAGGTGGCGAAGAAGGATTTCATTGAGTCCGACTCCGATGAGGAAGTACCTCCGATCTTATTTAACTCACAGTCTCTGGCCCGAGGCTCCAATGACACAGTTACTTGCAAAATTGCGTCACCACGCTGCCAGTGCGCCAACTGCCCGCTGAGGAACTTTTGTGAGTGTTTTTTTAGAGGCTATTTCCCGGGGACCCCTTATCGAAACGTTTTTTCCATGCTAATTGCGACCTGCTTCTGCCACACACACACAATATCCATATCAACTTCGACTTGGTTACCTCTTCACAAACCGGGCGAAGCATTTAATTCGATTGTGTCCCCATGTCGCGCTTGTCGAGCTGCAGTCGCGAGAACTTCATAAGTCAGCAAGTGTTCACCATTTGCCAGGATGCCCAGGGAGAGTTCAACGAGAACTTTGACTTCATAGGTAGCAGCCGAGCTTACTGAAGATTGTGCTTTACACTTACCTGGAGAAAAGATCCAAAATTAGGTTTAGTTTATCTAAAAACGCAGATACATTTTTTTTATTTAAATATCTAACCGTCCTTTAAGACGGCATTGGGATGTGTGATTTGTATTTAGAAACCTTTTGTTTTCTATAGAATTTTGTTTTATTATTCAAAGAGGACTTCTTTGAGTAATTAAACCGAAACGCTTTTTTCCATATTAGGTGTATACTAATATCAAAACGAACTAAACCATACGATATACGTGTGTTTGCGTGTTAAAGATTCAAGTGCAGTTCTAGTAATACGTTTCTTTTCTCTGAATTCAAGGGTGAGACTTGAACTTCATCGCTGTCTTTTTACTTGTTTACCGCCGCGTTCACTAAAGGTAGTTATTTTTACCCGACAGCTGACAAGCCGCCAGAGTCGGCGACTCATTAAGGAGAATCGTCGGGCTCTCTCGGCAGGTGTATTAATAAATTATTAACAATATAATTCCGAAGCCAAATTGCTTCAATTTGAATGAAAAGCAGCCGGCAGTCTGTTTTCTGACTCTGCTGGAATCATGCGCATTTTTTTCCTGCGCACAAACTTTATCAGTAACTGAGGTCATTTCATTTGTGTTCTTGCCTCTCTAAGTCAAATTTTGTATTTTCAGATGATCCGCTTTTCTCGGAGATTGTGGCAAAGGCCGAGGGAGCCATCGAGAGTGGTGTGCTGCCCGAGCGCATTTACCAGGGTAGCAGTGGTTCCTATTTCGTCAAGGATGCCGGCAATGTAAGTAGAATAGATAATCCTAAAAAATGAAATCCTTTGCTGCGCAATGGTAGGCGTTCACGACTTTAGTTTTGTCTTAGAGCGTCATTTGCTTTTTTTTTTTACTAATCCGCGCATATAATATACCTCAGGCAATCGGGGAAGTTTTGCAATTAAGTCAACTTTGCAGGACTTTTGGTTTGCACCTGAAACAGTCTAGCAGTATTGTAGAGGGTTCTGCCGTTCTCGGAAAAGGCACCAAAATAACGATACATTTACTTTCCTTCTAGCACTGCCTAGCTGTGTTTAAGCCCAAGGACGAGGAGCCCTACGGCAGACTGAATCCAAAGTGGACCAAGTGGATGCACAAACTGTGCTGTCCCTGTTGTTTTGGACGTGCCTGCCTGATTCCCAACCAGGGGTAAGCTCGGCATATGCCCATGGATATTTATATTACTTCATGTCGACTTTGTAGCTACCTATCGGAGGCCGGAGCCAGCTTAGTGGATCGCAAGCTCAACCTGAATGTGGTGCCAAAGACGCGCGTGGTTAGGCTGGTGGCCGAGAGCTTCAACTATGCCCGCATCGACCGGCAGAAAGCCAAGCTGAAGAAGCGCATCAAGGAGCACTACCCGTCGGCCCACTTCAACCGGATGAGCCTTCCCCTCAAGGTAACCATGTTAGCTTCACGGTGTTTAGCAGCAGTTTGGAGATTAACTTGTTTTGCCTTTTCCGTCAAGACTGGCTCCTTCCAGCTCTTCGTTGAGGGCTACAAGGATGCGGACTACTGGCTGAGACGCTTCGACAGTGAACCTCTAACGCCATCAGTGGCCAAATCCTTTCAGCTGCAGTTCGAACGCCTTGTCGTCCTCGATTATATCATACGCAACACAGACCGCGGCAACGACAATTGGCTGATCAAGTACATTGCGCCAAAGATATCGGGCCAAGTAGGCGGCACTGGGGGTAAGTCAATGCGGGGTATTTGCCGCCCCAAGGTACCCGGGACGCACGCCATAGTGGATCTGACCGACAAACAAAGCGATGCGGATCCCAAGTCCAACCAAGCTGCGGGTGGATCAGCTACCAAGCGGCAGCCAGACAGCACCAGCAGCGAGGACGAACAAAACTCCTCCCCCTCGAAGGATCCAACTTGGAACGTGGTGGATTCGGCCTTCATACGGATCGCTGCCATTGACAATGGACTCGCCTTTCCCTTCAAGCATCCGGATTCGTGGAGAGCATATCCCTACCACTGGGCATGGCTGCCGCAGGCCAAGATCCCATTCAGCGACGAGATCAAGGACCACGTGCTGCCCCAGCTGTCCGATATGAACTTTGTGGAGGAGATCTGCACGGAGCTGCTGTACCTGTTCCAACAGGATCGTGGCTTTGACAAGCGCCTGTTCGAGCGGCAAATGTCTGTGATGCGGGGCCAGATCCTAAACCTCACCCAGGCCCTAAGGGACGGCAAGTCACCGGTGCAGCTGGTTCAGATGCCGGCTGTGATTGTAGAGCGGTAAGTAAGCTTCCAAGTTACTTGGCGCAGTTTCGCAAAATATATTCTGTTCCACAGATCCAGCGGAAGTCGCTTCTTTTCATTTACGCAGCGCTTCCAGAACAAAAGCCCCTTCTTCTCCTGGTGGTAAGCGACACAATTCCACGTCTATGCAATTTGATAAGCCTAAACTTGTTCCGTTCGCAGCTAAATGACCACGGAGAGCTGCTCCCAGCTAACCCCACCAAAACAAACCAAATCGGACATTCCGGTCCGGCCGCCTCATCATCCATCGTGTCTATGCGCATCGTTATCGTCTAGTTTGGCTTTAAGCGGTGATTAGGAGCCAGGAGATGTATTTTGTTGAATCTGTTAGTAGACTTTCAGGCCAAAATTAGCATAATGTCGTAACAAGTAACACTTTTATTTGTTTTGTGTTCGTTTTTATGGTTTCCCCCGCCATGTTTGTGTATATGTAGAGAATATTTGTTTTGCAAGTGTCTGTATAGTCGAGAAGGGCTTTTGTGTGAAGGCCCTTCCAGAAGCTCACGTTCATCATTTACTTATTATTATATATTATACATCAAGCATATCAGTGAAGTAATCAAAATTCATAATACATACATCGCTGCTAGTGGAGGGTATCCATTGTTATTCGCATTAATATTGTACATTTAGTTGGTTTCCTTATGTAAACTATAATTTAATTTATTTTAGAGTGTACGGAGCACCCTGCACCCGTGTATACCATATGGAAATATATAAAATATAAAGTTGAAAATACATACATAAAAGTGTATATTAAAGTGTACGTTTATGCAAATCAAAGGGTTTCTTACATTACATTCTTACATTCAATCAACAGAACTTGTACACTCTCCTGAGCTTATTATGTAATCAACAAATATCTTAACAAAAAGCTGCTCGCAGCTTAAAGAGGATATGCTAAAGGTACGGAAGCCAATCGTCCGAGGCATCTGAGGTCAGTCTGCTAGCCAAGTCAGCCTTGTTCTCCCCAGGATCCGCACTGCTCTGGGCGACTGCCCCATGATCACAGCCAGCTTTATCTGCTGTTAATTCTTGGGACTGTGAGCCTGCTGCCAGCCCTTCGCTTTTTATGTCTATCTCCAGCAACAAGGACGTGTCTGCTTGCGGGGTGTCATCCTTAGTATCGATTGTCTCTGTCACTGCTTCTGGCGGCGTAGCTTCGTTTCTAACGACAATTTCGGTCTCCGAAGAGCTATAGGAAATGGTCACGCAATCTGTTGGCAGATTCTCCTCCACTGGACTTAAGATCATGTTATTCTCTGCTGTCACAGGTGGAGCAAATGTGCGTCTACCTGGTGTCGTTAGAAAAGTGGATATCGTTGGCTGATAGCCCGTACTCAGCATGGAGGCAGTGCCTTCATATCGATACCACTTTGTGGGCACTTCACCGGTGACACAGAGATCGCGACCCACAGGAACTGTGCTGATTACCCGCTTGGGCTTTAGGAAGCGAACGAATCGCTCGAGCTCCTTGTAGCTGGAGTGCTCCGAGTACTCAATGCCAATGGTACTGATCCGCTTCCCGTACGACGGCTTGCTGTTCTTTTCCCAACCGCTGGGCCGAATGCCCAGCAGCATGTCGTATTGGTCCTCGAAGGGCTTGAAGTACTCGACCAGGCTCTGCAAATATTATACAAATTATATTAACGTGAATGATGATAAATCCTAGACGTAATTCTACCGGATAGCTGACTTTCCCCAGGCCAATAACATGCAAATTGGCTGCACGGGGGTCATCAGTTAGAATTAACTGCAGCTTTGGCCAGTGCAAGCACCTGACTGCCCCGCTGCGTTGTGGTTCCGTCCAGACGTTTAAACAAAACTCCTCGGCCAGGGCTAGCCAGATCTTCTCCTTGCCAATGACGTAGGCCCCGCAGACAATAAGGATTCGCTTGCCCGGGTTCCTTTCCATAAATGCGCGCACCAGCTCCACGGTGCGGTCAACGCTGTCTGTCTGGTGGCAAAAGTCGTAGTTTTTGTTCATATACGTGGTGTCCAGGTAGAGCAGATCGATGTTGATGTGGTTCCAGAATATCGGCAGGGATTCCATATCGGCATTAGCTCGAAAGTCGCCAGTGTGCAGAATACACTCGCCGGAGCTCAGTTTGAAGAAGAACATAAGGGCTCCTGGACAGCTAGAAATTCAAAGGGGAAAAATCATTCTAGACCCCAGAAAGATGGCTTGTCCCTACTCACTGGTTAGCTTCTATGGCGGTCACTTCGACATCGTCGACCATCAGTGTTTGGTCCACTTCAATCTCCTTGATGTAGATCTCATCTACTTTGATGAATGTTCGCACCAGACGTGCGGTGATGGGACTCATGTAGAGTGGATGCGAAAACTTTTTGGTGAGGCCGATGTAGTGGTCAGCATGGTAGTGGCTGAGGAAGTAATGAGTAACGCCATCCAAGTCCCCAAACTGAAAGCCATCCACGCAGAACGTAGTGCCTTCTACAATTTTGTAGGGCGGGCATGGCTTTGGCTTCCTTTGCTTGCGTCCCGTTGTGGTGCTGGAACTAGAAACGGGACTCTCCCTGGGTGATGAAAGAGTTGAGGAGGTAAAGATCGATGGACTCCTTTCTGCTGGAATGTTAGCTCTTGCTGGGCTGTTCTTGGTTGTGGGAATCGCAACCATGGGACATTTGGGAGGGGTTACTGGTGCGATGGTGGGTTTCGTTCGGACGGGAGTAGTTTCTGCCAGCCTGGCTGGACTGCGGACGACTTCGACTTTGGTGGAGGGTTCCTTTTTGATGGTCTTTTCGCTCTCGTCTTCAGAGCAAAGATCAATCACATCCATGTCATCAAGGACTGCGTTCTCCTTGCCCTTTGCCTTTCGGCCGGGCTGCACCCGCTTCTCCGGCGGCTTACGATCACACGTATCCGTGGACCCGCTGGATGCAGTGGTGGACTCGTCGAAAAGGCGCTTGCGTCCCTTGGCAGCTACCTTTCGCTTGGCAACAGGCTTAACCTCCTTCTTCGCAGTCGACAGCGGCACCATTTCCACTTTGTAGTTTTTGGCAGAGCTCTTGAAGAAGGAGTCTATAAGCATCTGGCCAGGTAGTGGCGTCTTCTTGGACGAGCGCTTGATGGCGGTTTTGGGGGGAATTACACCATCGTTTGATTCCTCGTTCGCTTTGCATTTCCTTGTCGTTGTAGCCGCACGTCGGATTTTTCCCGCGTTTTTCTTCTCCGGCGTTTTGTCTTCGCTGATTGTAGGCAGTGGAGCTTCCTCTACGGTTATGGTTATGGCTGTTGTGGCCAGTTCCGCAAAGGTCTTCAGGCGGATCTTTCCGACATTGGACATTTTGTTTACCACGAAAAAGAAGCCCGGAGAAGTACCAGAATTCCTGTTTGTAGGAACAGCGTTGGCAGTGTTGCCACCTACCAAAGGGTTTACGATAATTGAAGTCGCTTGTTAATCGATAGCCCCAAAAAGACGATGCATCTTACCGTTTATCGGTGCCTTCCCATCTCTACGGTGCATCGTTCGAACAAAAACAAACTCAAGACGTTAAGAAAAAAACAATTTGTTTTGGGAATTCTCAAGCTGGGCCTGTTTGTCCGCGCCTTTAGCATGGCGTGGCGATCTGTGGGGGCCAACAACGAGGACCTCATCCGTCAGTTGAGGGGTAAGCTGAGCAATTGCGACGTTGCAGAAGAGATAATTATAGAAACGAATCTCCCCAAGATTATGGCGTTATAGCGAGCGATGCTGTGGCCAAGGCAATGGCAGAGACCGACCGCAAGCACTATTCTCCCCGCAATCCCTACATGGATGCTCCGCAGCCCATCGGAGGAGGTGTCACCATCAGCGCACCCCATATGGTAACCTGAAAGCACGGCTTACATGTATATGTAGAACAGCAGGCAGTACCAAAGCCTAAATGGGACGCAGATTTTTTATTTCAATTTAGAGTTTTAAATTCATAGCTTTCTGTTTAAAGGAATGCATTCGCATCGCCCCAAACGTATATCTAAACCTAACAGTTTCTCCTTTTTGCATATCCAGCATGCTTTTGCATTGGAATATCTGCGCGACCACCTGAAGCCAGGCGCTCATGTTCTAGACGTGGGCTCTGGATCGGGTTACCTGACCGCCTGCTTTTATCGCTACATCAAGGCGAAAGGCGACAGCACCGAGACCCGAGTTGTGGGCATCGAGCATCAGGCGGATCTGGTGCGAATGAGCAAGGCCAATCTGAATGCCGACGACAGCAGGATGCTGAGCTCGGGGCAGTTGCAGATCGTTGAGGGCGACGGACGCAAGGGTTACCCAACTAGTGCCCCCTACAATGCCATCCATGTGGGAGCAGCTGCTCCAGACACGCCCACCGAACTAATAAAGCAGCTGGCCAACGGTGGACGCCTCATAGTGCCCGTCGGTCCCGAAGGCGGCTCCCAGTACATGCAACAGGTGCGTACATCCTAACTACTTATCCCGATAGGAATTCATGTAAATAAATATCTGCAGTACGACAAGGACGCCAACGGCAAGGTGGAGATGACCCGCTTGATGGGCGTTATGTACGTGCCCCTCACGGATCTGCGATCCTGACTGCATCGAGCAGGACAGGCGTTGATTGTTTTGCTGCTGCTCTGCTTTATTCTCTACCGAATTTGGGCTTATTATCGCTAGAAATAATTATCTACTCAAAAATTTTAAGTGCGGTTCACGTTGAGTTTTATTAAATTAAAGTGTTCTAAGAAAAAACGTGTAAATTGTATACATTATTTTATTTAGAATCCAGCTAGTTTCACTTGATATTATTCAAACTTAAATCAAAGTCAAGTCAGCTATACAGATTCCAAAGACCCTGTATTCGTCAACAGCTAAGAAAAAGAAGTAGTTAATGTGAATGCTTAAATTAAAATACCCTTTATTAGTTTACTAAACTCGAAATTATATAAATAAATCAGTTTACTAAAATCGAAGATATAGAACCAAAATTTTTTCTGCCAGTTTTGATAATTTCAATCGTTTTTTAAATTCAATTCCCGGGTAATTGCAGTTCTGATAACGCCAATAGTAACAACAAGAAAGGAAGCTAACTTCGGCGCGCCGAAGTTTGTATACCCTTGCAGATTGGTTTTCATATTTATATTATAAATTATAATGCCGAAAACAGACACTAAACGGAGTTTCATAACATTTTACCTATACTTAATATGTTTACAGTTTGACAGTTACAGTTATACATCTCCAGCTTTACATTTTCTCTACATCTACGGATCACTTATATGGCAGCTATATGATATAGTTGTCCGATTTTCAAATTATTGTTACCAAAATTCTGAAATAATACTAAAAGCTCATGTCTCAAAGTAGATGAAAATACGTTGAAAAACAACGAAGTTATAATTTTTCTTTTTCTTTTCCTATCGTTCCTATGGCAGCTATAAGATATAGTGGTCCGATTTTCATAAAATGTATACCAAAATTCTGAAATAATACCAGAAGCTCATGTCTCAAAGTAGATTAAAATACGTTGAAAAACAACGAAGTTATAATTTTTTTCGATTAATTTTCCGATCGTTCCTATGGCAGCTATAAGATATAGTGGTCCGATTTTTATAAAATTTTTACCAAAATTCTGGAATAATATAAAATGGCTATATCTCAAAAATGATGCAATAATATTGAAAAACTGCCAAGTTATAATTTTTTTTCTAAAAATGTATCGAACATTTGTATGGCAGCTATATGATATAGTCGTCCGATCCGGCCCGTTCCGACATATATAGCAGTGAGAGTATATAGAAGACTATATGCAAAGTTTCATTCAGATAGCTTTAAAACTGAGGGACTAGTTTGCGTAGAAACGGACAGACGGACAGACGGACAGACGGACAGACGGACATGGCTAGATCGACTCGGCTGTTGATGCTGATCAAGAATATATATACTTTATAGGGTCGGAAACGTCTCCTTCACTGCGTTGCAAACTTCTGACTGAAATTATAATACCCTGCAAGGGTATAAAAATTCCCATCTCTAGCTACAGTTTTGACAATTTGAAAATTAAAAAATGTCCTTTGTAATAGAAAACGAAGAAATCATTCGCAAAAAGAAATCTTTCTCCAAGAGCTCTCTGACTTCAATAGCGTTGAATGGCACGGGGCAGGACCTCGGTGAAAATGAGATGCAGTGGCTATCGCTCAAGATCACTGAGGACATTAAAAAGCTGTTGAATGAGGCGGGCAAATATGCGCGCCGCACTCGGGATGATCGCGTGCGGCTGTCCCACATCCAACATGCTGTCCGATCCCTGTGCCCTGACGTATTCTCCAGACTACTCCTGCGGGGGAATGTGTTGGAGGAACCTATAAAAGTAATGCCCAGAATCGAATGCCAATCAAACGCTAAGCCTCGGCCAATGCAGCTCTATGTCGAACGTATTTATGAACCGCAGAATCCTTCAGCCGTTCGGATCCCTCCCAATTCGCCTCTCAACTCCGCCTGGCTAAGGGAGAAGCGGGCGAGTTGGATGAGACAGGAGCGGGCGCAGCTCATGCCTTGCAAAAACTTTCCGCTGACCAAGGAGCAGTTGCATTTCTACCAGATGGTCACAGAGTCCTGTGTGGGCTCTTCGAGTATGCCGCGGCAGGTAGCGCTCCACGCTTTATCTACAGATCCCACCTTGGAGGTGCTGCTGCCTAGACTTAGCGTGTTCATTGCGGACGCCGTAGCCATCAACGTGGCTGAACAGAACATAATATTTCTTTTCTACTTGATGCGTATGGTCAAAGCCTTATTGTCCAACAATAGTTTGAACTTGAGCAAATATGTGAGTACTTGCAACTCGGTGGTCAGAAGATGCAGCTTTAAAGTGTGCCTATCTAGCTTCATCTAATCCTGCCAGCGGTTCTATCCTGCCTGTTGACCAAGCAGATCGTCTTCTCCGTAGGCATGGCGGATCATTGGTCGTTAAGAGAATACTCGGGTAGCATAGCCACCGAGATCGTTCGCCACTACGAAGTCAGTGACAGCAACCTCCTGCCAAGGGTTGTTGGGTAAGATCCCTGGTGTCCGCAGGCGCATTGTTGATTCAACACGTTTTTCCCATTGCAGGGTCTACAAAGTGGCTCTTCTGAAAAGGCCCCTTACCACGATGTACGGTGCTGTTATCGGCCTTGGAAAGATGGGCAATGACGCCGTACGTGCCTGTATTCTGCCAAAGCTAAAATATCTATCCCTACGCATCGAGCCGCACTTGAGGGATACCAAGGAGTTTTCCAGCGCCAGTTTGCAAACCCAGGCCTCAAAATTCATCAGCCATCGGCTGATGAAGATGTGCACTCCGTTGCTGGATTGCAGTCCACAGGATTCTCCGGAGGTGTATTCGGCCGCATACGGATTATTGGGACCGATGTTGCGCTCGGCAGTCATTGTTTCGCGTGTCAAGGCGAAGGCGGAAATGATGGTTAAGGCAAAGGGTGGCAGATTGCCCTAAAACACTTAATTTGATTAGAAATTACTAAGATTTTCAAACATTCAAAGTCGAGCGCTTCAAAAAGTTACCGTTACTTCCTGCGAATGCAGCCCTAGTCGACCACTCGATAACTGCAGCGGCCATCGATAGTCACGACCACTTATCTTGGCCATCTCCAGCTAAAGTGTGCCCCAGGGGTGCAATCGAAAAGAGCGTATGTGTATTTGTTTGTCTGCTCGCTCAATAAACGTAAAAACGGAAAACGCAGCTCTGTGATCTCTGTATTCGCCAATGCACAATGCTCGCACTGTCCCAAGACGCAGCAACTTGATAAAGGCAACAAGGTAAAAGGCAGTTGTAACTCAAAACCGACAACGACAACACAGAACGCCTTGTGCGCAATATGAAGGTGTGTGTGTGTGTCTCGTCCGCGTGCGAGTGTGTGTGTGTATGTGCGGCAATTAAACAATAAGAAGTGCGGGGAGCGGGGATCTGGTTAACGGGTGGGGGCCACTGCGTACTCAGTGCTCCATTGTTGGGCGTGGAACGGAGCATTTCGGGGAGCCCGTTAGGTGCGTCCCATCAGGGCTAGCGAAGCGCGAAATTGGCTTCCAGTTGTGGTAGGTGGCGAAAATGTGCAGGTGTCCTCTTCCGCGGCAGGTGAAATTCGAGTTTGGCGACCGCGCTGCTCTCTAGCCAGTTTGCGAAACTGGTTTCGACCCTCCGGCGGCGTCCCAACTAATTGCTTTAACGTAAAAAGTTCGTTTATTTGGGCGACTCCGTTCGGAATAGAGACTTTGAAAATTCAGTGCAATTGATATTTGTTTACATCCATATACATATGCCCTGTCTCGCTCTAGCCCTCTCTGTATCTCCCACAACTACACATGCGCGAGTGTATTTTCAATTAGATCATTAATTTTAATATTGCGCGCGCTTGTGCGATTTCAATTAGTTTGGTCAGCCGTCAAAATTCCAACTATGCAGGTTTCCAGCTTTGTTTAGGCCGGTGCCAGTGATACCCTAACAAGTCTAAGGTATAATTTTCCCATTCAGTGTGGGTATTAATGTATTTATATTTGGAAATCAGGATTGAAGAAAAGATTTTGTAGGATTTTTTTTGGTATCCTGAAAGATTGTGAACCTTAGGTGCCAGTTTATCCAGGTTTCACATTATTTATTGTGATTTATTACACTTATTATCTATTTGTTTATTCTGCAGCATTAATTTGTTTAATTTACAAAAATGGATGCAATACTAGAGTGAACAGCAACGGCTCTCTATCATCATGCCCATATCCTTGCAGGCCGCAGGTGGCCCTGTTGCGGTTCCGACTCCTTCTCCAGCTCCGGCCCCGTCTACTGTGCCGGCCACTCTCTCTGTTAGTTCGTCCGGCACCCAGATGCTTCGTCCCCAGACACTGGCCGGTCCCGAGCGTGAGCCCATCGAGTTCAACATCAACTTGGTGGGCGCTCCGCCCGAGGTGGAGCAGCTGGTGGAGCAGATCAAGAGCGTGGCCGAGCAGTTTCTTTACCACTGGAAGAGCTTTCCCATTGGTAAGTGCCTGTACCACATCCATTGGCAGCTACTAACCCGCGTTCCTTTGTTGTTTTTAGTGCTGCCGCAGGCGCTGGCCAGCAGTGGGTTGAATCTGACGGCCAGCAATGCAACGAACAGCGTGAGCAGCCGCAAAACGCGTCCCATCAATCTGCGCGACCTATTTATAGCTCCTCCCTTCGACGAGCTGGACGCAGTGGCTTCCGATGGGAGTGGCGAGCCACGCCGGCTGACAAGCGCCCAGCTGAAGACGCTGCGGGAAACTGGGTGAGTCTGCGGTCACGAGACTGCTGCGAGAGCTGCTTAGCGCTGATGGATAGATTGACGGATGAATGGATGGTGGCTGACGGATGATGGATGGAGTTGCAGTTGCGAAAAAAATATGAGCAATTGTGCTTGCTGATTAACTGCGCTTTTGCCACATCCCCTCACACCTGAATAAGTGACTTATTTTGTTATTTGGTTTCTTGAGTTCCCTTGCGTTCCATTGCCTATCATTCCGCGACACTTTGCACCCAGCAAATGCAGCAATCAAATTAAGGCATGCTCCAAATCAGTATAAAAACGAAGACGACACAAACAGCCATCGTTTGTCTGTTTATTTTTGTTTTTTTAATTTCTTGTTTAACCAAACTAAACGCATGCCACACTCTCGTGTTTTTATTTCTGTGTATCACTTGCAAATGAAACAACAATTTCGTGTGTGACATATTTCTGTAAAGCTTGCAAAAGGATAAATATGGAAAGCCGAAGAAATTAACTTTGGAACAATTGGAAACAATACGTAAAAATGGGTAAATAAAAACACATTCAAAAAGGCGGACAAACTGACCTGCCACTGTTTAGTCGGTGTTCTTCCGTTTGTACATACATTCTCTTCATTTCTACTCAATGTTAATTGTTTATATGTTATGTAAGTGATTGTCTAAAGGCGCCCCCAACAAATTTGCATGCCAGCTGAAACGAAAAGTGTAGACTCTAGAGGCGAACTCCTGCATGGTGGATAAGAACAAAAAATTGCGAGAGATGGAAATACAAGAATGTCTCTGTGTCTATAGCTTATAAATTTATAAATTTATACATTTATCTATCTATTGACCTTTAAAAAAACATTCTTTAGGAGTAGCAGACCTCTTTTGTGCAACTCAAAAGAGCGGGACTTGGGATGCATATTAACCCGAAATCACACTCACATTTAATATTCACCTAGAATCGGGCAAATCCTAATTCAGAATCTGGTACACGCTTGTGCATGCCAACAATAATTTGTCATTGAAACCTAGTTCATTTACGTGTTTTATGTTGCTTCGATCTTAGCCATTGTCACGATCCATGAAATCTAATTCAATTCTGTTCCCCCACACGCAGGGAGTTCGATGTGCCTAGTCTGCATTTTCCGGGCCAGGTCCACAAGTGGCGTCTGTCCCAGCTGCTCCAGAAGGGTAAGCTGCGCACCCAGGACTCCTTCTTGAGCGATTTGGCCTTAGCTGCTCGGTTCGTGGTGGTCACCGCCCGAGCAAGGATCTTCTCGCACTTCTTCTCCGTGGTGCATGCAGTGCATGGGCTTCTCATGGCATTCACCAAGCTCGCGGACATGTTTATCGGGGTGCCGGCTCTGTTGGCCCATAACCTGGACTATAAGATCAAGGAGGAGCGATGCCGCTTCCTCATAGCCGAGTTGGTTTGTCGGGTAAGTACACATCATATGTTGTCAGGATAAAAACTTAAAAGATAATTTTGCAGCCCGAGTTCGAGGACTGCCTGGATGGACTATGCTCCTATGTCCGTAAGATGCTGCGTCGCGCCACCATGGAAAAGTTTGACTTCAACAGCTGTGAGGTCAGCCAGCCCGTACCGTATCTCTTCCTAACGCCCAAGGGTCAAGAGATCGACTTGCGGCTCTTCTGTCGCGACATTATGCGCAAGGCCCTGCCCATTCTCATTGGCATTTTGGAGCGGGAGACACGCGGCTGGTTCTTGCACTTCCGCGAGCGACTGATCGCCGAGCTGCGGGCCAAAAAGCTGAACGACAAGGAGATCGAGGAGGAGGTAAACGAGGCGGTGATGAAGGAGTATCTACAGCGGGTCTACAGCTCCATCGTTTCTAATGCCAAGCTGGCGGAGCTGGGCTCCGGAGTGCCCGAGCTGCTTGTGCAGCAGGCTCAGTCGGTGGTGATTATGTACAAGGCGGTGGACAAGGTGCAGCAGGATATCAAGCGCACCCGCGAGGACCACCAGAAGTGTTTGGCCAACGATCACTCAGTGCTGTCGCGTGTGGCTCCCTGGCTGCGTTCGAAGCTGCGCCATGCCGAGGAAAATCGACTGCACAAGAGCGCCTGGTCGGCCCACGAGGAGGCCCTGAAGATGTGCACCCAACACAATCTTCATCAGACGGCCTACTTTCTGTCCCGGGACCTGGCCTTTATGAAGGAGCGCGAGCCAGTGCTGCTGAAGGAGCTGAAGAACGCCAAAACGCCCACGCGCAGCTTCCAGTGGGCGTGTCGCATTTGGTCGCCGCAATCGTGGATCATACGGCGCAACTTCCAGGGCCAGTCGGACGTGATACCCACTGTGATCAGCCAGCATGCTACCAGCATAGTCACCCCGCGCTCGGATCCCAGCCAGCCGGTGTTCCTGGTCGAGAAGGAGATCATCCGCACCACCAGCACCCGCTGGCCGTTCTGGCGCCTGCTGAACATGATCCAGCGTATCTGGTGCTGGTCCTGGAACATGATGTTCCTCCTGGGAATCCTCGTGCCCTGGTGCAGTCCCCTGGGTCTGCGCGCTCTCTGCTGTGTGAAGCCGTTCATGCCCGATCTGGAGTTGTCGCAAATTAATGGCACTTTGTTCCCGCGTAAGACGAGCATCACCCAGACGATGGCCTCGCGACTCATCGAGCTGTGGAGGCACATATCAAAGTCGCGCACTCACTTTGAAACGGAACCGGACACAGGTGGGCTTGAGAATACCATTCAAACTGCAAACAATAACTCTGATGTGTCTTAGGCTTTATTGGCAAGGGCTTGACACGCAACTTGAATCGCACTTGGAACTATTTCATTAAGGGATTCCTCGGAACGGTTGTCATACTTTTCGCCTTCCCGTTGATCTGCCTAGCCGCTAGCTTTCTGAGCATTACGCTGGCAGTGACTGCTCCCCTGTGGATTCCCGTGTTCGTTCTCCTGCTGCACATCTATATGATCCTGATATATGACTTGGATGCGCCGGACAACACGGGAAATCGCTACTGCATACTGCTGGAGGCCATAGTTTGGAATCTACTCATACAGGGCTTGCTGCAGCCGCTGGCGGCGGTGCTGGTTGCTACAGTAATCTGTCCCCTAGCAGCCGGAGTCGTATTTATAGGTGGGTTCCCTACGACTCTTCACAATACATTTTTCCTAATCGCGTTAAAATCCATTCCAAAGTGGGCGTCGTTAGGTATTCGCTTCGCATTGTCTGGGACTCCCTCACGTACCATTTGTTCATCAAGAAGTGCGGGCGGGTGCCGGCTTCGGATAGCATTGCAGTGAAGCGAATCGCTGGACCTGGACTGGCCTTGGACTACTACTTTATCATCCGGCCAGAGCAGGCTTTGGCCGCTTTAGAAGCTAAAATGGAACTTGACGAGCTTCAGGCCTACCAGCATGCCACTGAGCGGGTGGTACTGCAGCCGCAACAGGATTTCCTGCAGTTCGTCGAGGCCTGCTTCGGTCCCTTTTCGGCCCAAATCAGCAAGGCGGGTCCATACTTATCGCTGGACCGCGAGGCCCAAGATCTGATGAGCACCTTGCACGAAAAGCTGGAAAAGCGACGGCGGGAGCTGCAGACGGCGTTGACCACCCAGGTCAAGTCGCGAATCAAGTTGAATACCAAAGAACTAAAGGTTAGTTATCAAATAATAGTATATTATAATAATGCGGAGATCAAAAGTAGCAATAACCACATCTTTATAACCTCTAAAAATCAGAAAAAATATTATTTTCAAATCAAATATAAATTATTAAATCAATTCGCAGCCTTAAAAGTAGATTTATACATAAGCTATTTGCCATTCCTAATTTAATATTTAATGCCACTATCCTCTCCTCAGATTGCTATACAACTGGCCGCCCATATTTTAGAGAAGTACTATCCGTCTCATGTAATCGGCCGACTGTCGATTAGCGAAGAAGAATTCTGGGATAACAAGGTGACTGATTCTTAATAAATATACATCAGCCTTAAATGAAATATTAATTCTAATTCATGTATTTTGCAGGGTCTCACGGTGAATGACTGGCCGGGACTGGCTGGCCTTATTTACACCGACATATTTAGTTTAGATTTTCTAACGCCATTGACTGAACACGATACCCATTTTAAGCTAGAACCACATGCCTCGCTCGACCTGATGCGTTACACCGAGATGGTTAAGAATGCGACCGATGTGATTGGCTCCAAGGGGCTGGACCTACTGGGCAACGTCTATGCCCCGCGAGGCAACGTCCAGGTGCATTTACCCTTCCTCGAGGTGACGGCCTTCAATCCACGCTCCCGCATAACGCTCACCTTCCGGAAGCCCGAGAAGCGGTAATAAATAGTTAGGATTCCATACTTGAACTAGCACTAATCCAATCGTTGGCAGGGACATGTCTGTGGGACTGACCACACCACGAGTGCGTGCCCATCGGGCCCAGCATGTGCCGAAGTCGCCGCAGGAGGCCCAGAAGCCCTGGCGTCCGTGGAAGCAGCAGTGCGGGGAAAAGAGCGTGACGGAAAAGCTACTCATCCCGCTGCCTGTGCCGCATCCCGTTCACATTGCCATTGCCATTTACAATCGCGACACAGAGCAGCCCATCCCCCTGGACTCGGAGCTGGTGTGGGAAATCCTCAAGTCGATTGAGGATTGTCAAGGCGGCGATGCTATGGTAAGTCAAAGCGTAACCTTTTGATGTTCAAGTTCTTCCTGTGGCTAATGCTTTCCCTTATATTCAGGCTGTTCAGGCTGTGGCGCGTTATCGCGGAGCAGTTATGGAGTCCAGCAACGATTCGCTGGCCAGCAGCAGCAGCATTGGCAGTACCCGGGACTCGGGCTCTGGCTCTGTTTCGGGCTCTGCCTTGGGAAATGGCACTGAGACCTTGCCCTGCGGCAATCGTGAGGTGAGTTGAAGCAAAGCATGCATAATTTTTGGCTCTACATACATTTATTTCCTTCGATATTTCTGTAGGTGTGCACGCAGGTCAAGGTAGATGCTGAACCGGCTGCCAGCTCTTCCGGTTTCCATTGGACTCTCAGCAATTGGGGGGCAGCGCAAACCGCACGACGTCGAACCAACTCGAATGTACGCGTGGATCTGGCCAGTCCTGAGGATATATCCCTGGATACGGATAGTTCGCGTGCTGTTTTTAACAACGCCTACGGCACAACTGTCTAGAAGGCTACCACTCACACACACACACACAAGTATGAAATAACCAACACTCAAACACAGCCGTAGATTTATGCGTGGATGCTTGCTTTTTAAAACAAAATTTGTAGGGCCCCTCGAATATGGTTTTGCTCGAAACGTAAAACTATTTAGAACGTTTATCTTTTTATCATCAGGAACAATCCTGAAGAACACATTAAGTCTCCTCTCTCCCTAAGCAGCCGCGCTAGTTAAGGAGAGTACTATGAACAAATTTATCCATCTAACTATATATTTACATACGCGTATATGATATACATATATGATTCGATTGCCGAATCGAAATGCAACAAACTTCAATCTAGTCGCAAGCAAATTTTATGCAGCAATCTACATAGCTCGACTTCTTATTCGGCCAATAAGAAAACAAACTAAACGCAGCAGCTCCATGACAGCAGTTTCCGTTCAAAGTACACTTGCATTGCATTAACAATAAAAAGCCATGAGATTTTTCTTTGTACCTTTTAACCAATACAAGACCACATTTATGTTTAGCAATTTGTATTATTAAAATGACAAGGATTGTACTACGAGCAGCGTAACCAGATATATCGTTAATTAATGACTAATTTATTTATATGTATACACGAACACTCAGCAGAATACTAATGGTTTATCTACTCCAGTACTTTTTCTTCCAAAACTACTAAACGCAAATATTAATTGTAGTTAAGAGAACAATTAAATAACAGCATTAAACGAGGGCAGCCGCCAGAGTAATTTTACAAAGATAAATAGGACAAAAGGATAAAACATTTTTACATTTATATATACACAACAATATTTAGATCATATAACCGCAAATGAAGCCTGTTGACATTTCCAAAATCAGCTTAGATTCCAATTCGACGTAGGGATGGCAGAAAATATTGATATCGACATATAAATCGATCGTTGCGATAAATCAATGTTCTATTTGATATATCGGACCTATATAATCGAAGAATGGACAACTTGGATAATATATTTCAATATTATTCGATAATATCGATTTTTAACGTTATACGCTATATTTTTCGATTTTTAAAATTTCCATAAATCAAAGCTTTACATATTTTATATATGAAGTATATTTCTCGATATAACAATTCGGACTTTTCCCTTCGATATACATCCCTCATTCGACCAGCTCCATCCTCCCGCACCTCCAGTGCCCTTCCAGTATTTATCGTGCTGAATTCCCTTGAGTATATACATTTTCAACTGCCACGATTGCAAGTATTATCCGCTCCGCGCACTCTGCCCATTAAGATGTTAATTTTGATATCGCTTCGGCAGCTTCCAGTGTTACGTTTAAGCCTCTAACCGATCTATTTATTATTTGTGTCGAATGTCGAATTAATGCAAACAGCAGCAACGGAACGAATCTTTACATACAAATATACAAAAACATTTACATAAATATGTGTATGTAGTTATACAAATTAAACAGAGGAGAAGCAAATCCTAACCAACGGTAAATCTCATGAAAATGCATTGAACAATTTTATGTAAAATGTTTTCTTATTATTAAACAAAAGCAAACAAGATGTAACAATAAATTATGAATGAATGATTATGTGTGCTGGCTGCTTTTCAAGAGGCGTGTAGCTTGCACGCTGCTTTTAAAGTTGCCAGCACAAAATTGTAGTTTAAAATGTAATAATACAAATGTTGGCTAAAAATAATCAAAAGTTGTGTTTTATTTTTTGAGAAAAGTTCTCATAAGGGTGATCGATTCGACTATATTTTCTGAGTCAGCACAAAAATAGCTCTGGAATAAACACATCAATTTTGATAGTCTTTATTGAAAAGATATATATTTCCGTTTACATGTAAAGATACAAAGTTTCTTAAACTAGGTGTAGTTTCGCCTATGATACATACTCTAGGTGTTAGCTTAGAATGAATTTAACCAACAAAACTCGCTTCGAGCACTAAGTAAACCATTCGGAATTTAAAACGGAGAACAAATATATAGAAAATGGTAATCACAATAATTAGTTTTAATTGCAAATCGATTTCTACTCTGGTAATAAAACTTATGAAAAAATATTCGGTACAGTATTAACAATTAAATAAGATAATTAACTTAAAACAGCGTAAGAATTGTTTTAGAAAATTGTTTTTGGATCGCTCAGCGAACATTTTCAAGTTAACTACAAATGTAGGTCTAGATTCTAGTTCTCAGGTATTACAAAGTCGACGAGGTGGTGGAGAGAGAGGTAAGGGGAGGTTGGGAAAAACGTATAACACGCCCACTAATTAACACATGTCAACAGCCCTATTGTTCTCTGAGTGAGTTTACTACACTTTAAAGTACTCGGTAACAGCTTTAGAAGATAATCATCCCCAAGGATATTATTTGAGCAAATTTCTACTTGTTTCTTTTTTTTCTGGAATTCGAATCTAATACAGAAAAGTTAGGCGGGTTCAGGGGGGCTATAGAGATTTGTAATTAAAGCCCGCGCTGAATCCGATTGAGAATGAGTTGCATGGCGGAATGGTGCCCATACTTTCGGTCTCACATTTACCTATTTGCGTGTGGGTGCATCGGGAATGATTGATAACCAAATTAAGTGCCTAAATTAGACTCTATTCTATTCAAATCGCAACGGATATTTCCTCACTGAAAGGGTACGAGGCTGTGCGCCGTCGTGTTGAGCAATCCCAGGCGCTGCTTCTGCTTGCGCTGCTCCGTCATATGGTCCTTGAGTTCGTGCAGCTGCGTGGATAGATTCTTGATGAGCAGCTGGGTCTCCAGGAGTTGGGCCTGCATGCTGCGCAGCTCGATCTGCTCGCCATCCGCATCCACCGCCGCCAGGGACATGGCGCGCAGACGCGGGAACCACTCGAGGATGCCGGCCTTCACCATGGCGTACACGTAGCTTTCAGGGCCAGTAAACTCAGTGGGATCCTTGACTTTGACCAGGACTATGAAGTACAGATAGTGCCACATGTTGTGCTCGCTCTTGATGTGCTCCTCAAAGCTGACCGTCTTGTTGTCGAAGGCTGAACGATTGAGCGAGCAGATGAAGCAGGTTGTCTTTAGGATGGCCTCCTTCTGCTGCTTCTCCGACCTCAGATCGGCGAACGTGTCGATGATCACACCAAAGATCAGGTTCAGCACAATAATGATGACGATGAAGAAAAAGAGCAGGTCATAGATGACGCGAGCCACAAACAGTCCCTCCTAAAGCAAAGTGGAAAGTCAGTGGAGACTCGAGATTAAATTGTGGAATTGGGTTACCTTGCTGGATGGCGCCCTCAGAATATCACCGATGCCACCGCCATTGCGCAAGCCCTGGTTCAAAGTGGTGACTATGCACATGACAAGCGAGTCGCAGGAACGCTCCTTCACATCGCCACCTCCACTGCCATTTGAGGGTGGCGCCACTTCCTTAGCTGCCGCCGGGCAATTTCCCAGTTCATCCGGGGCGGCACACGCCTCTTCCGGCGATACTGGCACTGATAGGGTTAGGGGAACAGGCGTCGGTGACGCATTTTCCTGCTCCTCGAAGTCCACACTGACCAGAAAATCATCCTTGAAGAACATGTAGCCAATTATGGAGAACAAGTAGACCAATATCAGCGCCAGTACCGCGGTCAAAACGATCGAGCGTCCATTTCGGGTCACGGATCTGATGACATTAACCAGAGTCTCCTCCCGGTAAACCACATCGAAGAGCTGCAAGCGAATGGGTTAAATGGTGGGGTTAAGGTCCACTACAACCGGACTCACCAATAACGAGTAAAAGAAGGGATGAAAGATCAGGCCACAGAAGCAAAATGCTATATAAATGCAATGGTAGAGTAACTGGAAGTCCGTAATGATCTTGATAAGCTGCTTCTCCAGAGTGCCCTTGTTGCCCATTATGCTCACTATGTGAACGCTTTTCAGGGTGACCTTTAAAGGAAGAGCCAAAATTAACATAGGTTTAGGTAAATTCTTCAGTTTCCGTACCGTAACAACTCCCAGCAAACAGAGTGTGGACTCTGGTCCTAGTAGAAAGATGAACCGGAGGATTACCGAACCAATGAGTGTCCTGATTCCGGACTCTCGGGGCAGCGTTATCACAATTACCAATGAGAATATCATAATGATCCAGAACAGCAGGGAAATGTGCGAGCTAAGCTCTGGAAAAGAATGAAGAACAACAAGAAATCCGTTTGGGTAATGTAAAGGGGACAAACAGTAATATATAAAAATAATAATAAAAAAAAATAACGAATTACACCAATCGGCTAGGAATTACTTAATAAACCAACTCACCTGGCACAGTATTATCGAAGGGATAGAAGAAAGCCACAATCATATTGATAACAACCACACAATTGAAGAGTATATTGCTCCACAGGGACATGTAACTGCTGATCCAGAAGAGTAACGGCTGACCTAGGAATTGAGGAAATGACATTTTTAAAACGACTTTCCCATTAATTTAGAGTGTGTCCATACTTCGTAGCTTCTTTTGCCATTTCATCTCGTTGAACATTTCCTCGGCCTTGTCAAAGAAGTCGGCCACTTTGGAGCCCTGGTCGTCCCGTTCGGCGGTATTGAGGATTTTGATTTTGGTATCCGTGGTAAGGTACTCACAGATCTCTGGAATGGGGAACACAATCTGCTCCAGGGTGCGATCGTTGCGAACAATCTGGCAGGGGATTACATTATGAATAATATTGTATGAGACCAGGATGAACAATTTATTACCTCAATCTGGGCCGTGTGCGTGGCATAGTACATCAAAGCCTGACTGGTCTTGGCATCAAAGCTCGCCGACTGCGGATCCTCAGAGGCCTTTAGCAAGCCGGCCAGCTCCTTGTTGTGCTGGGCCAGCTGATGGCACAAAATATAGATGTTGTGGCCTACCTCCCGGGGACTCACAGTGGCATCATCATCATCCGACCCGGCATCCGGCTCGTCCCCATCGTCCTGCTCGTCAATCAGCTCCTCCTGATGGTAGGCCTTGCAGGCCACCTCCACCAGCTGCTTGGGATTCATGTTGTAGAGGATGCGCTCCGCATTCTCGCTGTCGCCACGGCTCTCCATGATGGCTAGAAGGAGCTTGGAGGCATTGTTCTTCAGCTCCAACACCAAGTCCATGCGGTTCTCGCCCAGCGGGTTGATGTTGTTCAGTATGAGCGCCGTGATGATGTCCAGTCCATTGGACTCGTGGGTGGCTATGCAGTTCTGGTTCTCGTGGCACGGCCCCTGGCAGTACTCGGTGAGTGCCTCCAAGGTCTGGTTAATCAGCGCCACGTTGTGCTCATTGATGTACAGTCCCAGGAGACCCAGGCCACCCGTTGTCGAGCCACAAATGCAGTCGAGGAACATCAGCGTCTCCGAGACAAGGTTGTTGTTCGTCTTGTTGTTCTGGTTCCGCAGCAGGTTCTGCATGTCCGGATTGTGGTTCTCGCAGAGCAGCTGCAGGAAGCGCAGAATGGGCTGCATGACCAGCACCTTGTTGGATAGCTGGTTGCGCTGCTCCTTGCTGTCCTTGTGCTTCTCCAGCTTCTCGGCCAGTATGTCCTCCAAGGGATTGTTCACACTGATCGCGGAGCTCTCCTCGCCGGAGTGGATGTTCCGAGCGTTTCCGTAGGCTCGTGCCGTCGCCAGTCCGGCGTTGTGCAACTCCCGCTTTAGCTCCTCCGTGATCACCACTCCATTACTCTTAAGGCCATGCTTACGAGAGATCTTGTCCAGCTCCAGATTGGTGTCCTGCTTGTGCTCGTGCGCTTTGGCTGCAATGTCCGTTGTGTTCACCGTCACCGTCGACTTGATCTCCTGCTGGGCGTCCTTCATCTTCTCAAAGAACACCTTGAAGAAGGCCTGGTTGAGGTCGTCGCTGAGGAACTTCTGGAACATGCCCTTCTGGATGATGGGATTGCCTCCTTCCAGGAGTGCAATTCCCAATTCCACGGCCTCCACGAAAATGTTGGGCGAGTGCACGGACTTAATGACCAGCTCCACCACCAGATCGGAGGCTCCCTCGCGGTCCAGGTGATTCTGCATCTCGTGCAGGGTCTTGCCAGCTCTCTGAAGGTATTTAGCTCCCGGTCCGTGCGTCACCAAGTGGTGCTGCTTGGCGGGGTCCGCTAGAGGAGCTGAGGCCAGTTGAGGCAACTCCTCCTCCGGCAGCCTGGTGCTCTTGCTCTGGAAGTAGCGCAGCAGGAGCGTCTGGCGTAGGGCATCGCCCTTCTCCCCGTAGTTCACATCAATGGCCATCATCTCGCGCAGCGTCCGCAGGACCTTGACGCACATACGCTCCTCCTTCTCCTCCAGCAGCTTCTCGGTGTGCTTGATCAGCTTGCGGATGAAGCCGCCGCTCTCGCAGCGCTTCCGAGCCTCGGTTCCCGCGGGAAACAGAAGTTCTGAGCGGTACAGGATGTCCACGAGCAGCGAGAGTTCCGCTTCCACCACAGGCTTCAGCTGATCCTCCAGCAGGGAGACTATGTCCTGTAGGCCCTCGATAATGGAACGATCCCACCGCATAAGGCTGGCCGACTGCTGGGCCTCGTATTTGGGCTGCTTAGAGGCTAGCAGCCACTTCGTCGTCTGGCGCGTCAGCATGGCCGTCTTGCTGGACATGGTGGCCACCTGCTGCTCCAGCTCCGGTGGCAATGCAATGCTGCGCATCTTGGCCGAGTCGGTTAGCGTGCGGATGCAGTTCTCCACGTTGAAGCGATC